CAGCCGTCGGAGTTGAAGACGGCACCCGCCCAGTCGCCGCCTAGAGAAGACAACTCAGTTCAAGTCGACATGAGACCATGACGGGGAAGGGAACATACAAAGAGTGAGGTTGATGATGATGTTGTGCGCGCCAAAGTGGGTGCTGAAGTCGCACGACTGGCTCGGGAAGTACGCGTACGGAGTACCCTATGACGCCGCGAGAACAGGTGTCAGCCATCCTTCCAAAGGAACGGTATACTTAGGAGGAAGGGTTGCTTACCCAGTTGTCCGTGTCGATGGTCGTGGCGCCGTTCTTGACGTCGCTGGGCACCGACCCGTCGTTGCGGGACCAGAACCAGACCTTGATGAAGGAGCTCGTGCGTTCCATTGCGTACCTGGAAGAATGCACGCGATCAGCACTGTTTGCCGCACGAGACGGCGGGCAATGCATCACGTAGGCACTCACCAGCCTCCCCCGGCACTGTTGAAGGCTGGGCCGTAGCTGTTTGTGGTGGGCGCCTTCACGCCGCAGCCCGCGTTGCCCGTTGCGTCGACGTCACAGTTGTTGCCAGTCGAAGTGCTGTCGGGGGTACGTGCATCAGTGTCCTCCGACATTACGGCTAAGCGACTGAACTCACCCTGTCTGCGACCGGGAAGCGGGCATCGTGCATCCTGGCGTTACCATGAGGTCAGGACCGAGAATAGCACGCAGAGACCGGGAGCGGAGCGGGATGTCCACTCACCAGAGCTCGTGTGGAGCGTGGACTGATTCGGGCTCTGGTCGTTGACGCCCTCGAGGACGTCGATCTCGCCTGTGGAGACGGAAGCAGCCGCAATCAGAATCACGAGCCGTCGTGAGCTTCGCGTGGGACTCGGGACCGACCTTGGTTGGGCCAGTCCGCACCGACCTCCCACAGCGCGGGCCATGTACTAGAGACGCGTGTCAAAGAGGGCTCTATTGTAGCACACATGTGCCTTTCAGCACTCACGCGCAGCCTTGTGGCATGTGACGGAGGCTCCATCTGATAGCGGGAAATTGCGTGAGCTTGCTTCTTCGATCTTCGGCGACGGTAAGAGACAGCAATTGGGGACCTACACGGTGACGTGCGTCGTGTACTGCTTGTTGCTTTGCAAACGGACAGAGTTGCGTCCGGGCCCGCTGGCGCTGAGCACCGTCGTGTCATCCGTGCGGATGATGAAATGGTCCCCGGAATAGTAAGTGAGGTTCTGCGAGAGTGCGGTAGACTCATCGACGTAGTTCCTGATGGCAAAGTCGATGGTGAGTCCGACAAATTGATCAAGGCATAAGATACTCACACTCGGCCGTGGGTGGGGTCGGCGATGGCCTGGAAGCTGAAGGCATTTAAGAAGTCGCTGCCCTGGTGACTGTCGGCCTGCTGGTAGGTCGCAGCGAGGGCGGAGGCGACAAAGCACGCCAGAGTCAGGAAGGTACGAGAAGCAAGCATGGTGCCGATGCCCAGACAGGTGCCGATGCCCAGACGGGGAGAGACGAACTATTGAAATGAGAGCTGAAAGGCCTTGGGGAGGTAGGACGGGTGCAGCTCACTCCGAACAGAGGGCCTGATTGTAACGGACTTTATACCTCGTCCACCCGCTGAAAAAGTGGAAAAGAGTGGCGCCGGAGAGCATCAGACTGCGAGGCCTGCGATGGGTACGTCGGGATAACTACCGTAGGGAAGTGGACAGCAGCGGAAGCATCCCATGGTGCCTCACGCGAAGCAGGCACATGGTGCAAACCAATGGTCAACGCGGGGCATGTACCGGCGTGACGCGGCTGACCATACGGAAGAGGCTGTTGAACAGAAAGAACGAAATGGAAAACGCCTCCCCGCAAGGTGGAGAGCGGTGCAGAACCTAAGCAGGAGAGGCACATGAGGCAAGCGACGACAAGGTGATCCAGCATGCTTTGCATCCGCGGTCATCGATAACTCACCTCGGACAGAACCTAACGTCTCCGAAAGATGCACTACGGGCATATGTTCAAGATCGGGGCACGTCAACATGACCCCAGGAATTTTCCGTGGGCGCATGAGAATAGCGTTCGACCAGAAGAACACCAGCAAGGTAACAAGTCATCTGAGAGCGTCATTGGAGCTGAAGCAAATGGTGCGCACGTCGCCTGACTAGCAATGTTGGAAGCCCTGGAAGCCTCGTTCTTGCTCAGCTGCAGGGTTGGTCGAGCGCTGTCGTCCTAGCGACGTCCGCAGGCCAAACGGAGGTCCAAGAATATTTTGGAGCGTCGAGGAGATCCCGATCGGTGCATTCTGAGTGGCGGAGCGCCACCCCGGAGACATTCAGTTGCCTGAGACGTAGAATTTTGGCACGAGCGGAATAGCGCCCTCAGGCTGACGTGCAACACACCGGTACGCCCTGCTCCGCCAGATTAGGTAAGTACGGGAGGAAAAGCACCGAGAAAGAAAGCACCGCTCGACATACGGTACCGTCCGCCACTTCGTTCGATCTTCGCTGAAGTTCCGTCGGCTTCTGTGTGCTACGCCTCGGGTCAGAGAGACGCCCCGGCGCCTCGTGCCATGGGCAGAAGCTGTCGCGACGGGCGGGGTCTTGGGCCAGGTGAGACCGATGTCCATATGTTTTCGGAACAGGCGTGACCAGTTCTGCTCTGTTCTACTGCACCGGTACTGCCCCCTGCATTGATCAGCGCGTGTATGAAGGAAGGAAGCTGGTCGTGTTCGGAGAATGTTCAATCTCGTGATATCGATATGCTCCTCAGCAAGCGCGTGGCAAGCCGGGCGAGTGTACGAAGGAAGCTCCTCGCACATATCGCCGGGGAAGTTCGTTCCGACAGCCGTGCTAGAACATCTCTTGCTCTGCATTAGGAGACAAGCTCACGCATGGCTATACTGTAGATGGCTACGGTCCGTCATGTCAGGGACCACGAGGGTCTGACCACCAAGTAATCAGCGTTTGCATTTGCATCGATATCGAAGTCTGCAAGAATAGAGCAACTGCGATACCATGTGCCCGGTTCTCGGCCCATGAAGCTTGACAAGGCGTTAGGCTTCGAAGTTGGGACGGCGGTCGAAGGAGAGAACGTGGCGGAACGATTGCAACGCAGTTACGCAGACTGCATGCGGCGCACCGGCAGTGGCGGTATCCTTGTGCCTGTATTCGAAAACGCTCCCTCGTAACCTCTCCACTCTGGCGCCGGCATCCGCCTTGAGCTTGAGGCCTTAGGCCTTGGGTAGCCTCATCGTCTGGTCCTTACTCAAATCAACGTGAACATACGCAATGATTTTTTGGCAGCGTTCGAAGCTCCCCACATGTGTACCGCGGATATACGCTCCTCCAGGAAAATGCAGGCGATGACGATATCCGCTGAATTCGATTGATTGTAGGGGGAGCACTTACGTTGTGGATAAATTCGGGGGCAGAGCGGGCCCCGTAATATCATGAACCCTCCGATTGCTGCGTGGGCGAGCCTCGGACCAGGCGTAACCCTCGCTACTCACACAGTAGAGCGTTGGAGATCTCGCCACTGCGGAATGTAGCATACACTCCAATATGACGAAGGGGAACAGCGGAACCGAGAGGTCGTCCTGAGCAATGCAAGAGAATTCGAACACAACGTCCAGCGCAACGTTGACTTACGTTCAACACTCCGGATGCGGTTCCAGTGCATATGGATGCACGATGCGCAATCGAGGCGGAGCATAGTTGGAAGTCACGAAAGCATGACGAACGCTGGCCGGTCGAAGTGCGTCGAGAGCACTCTAAATAGACGCGCTAACGCTCGTCGAACTCACTCTCCAACCAGGCCTCGCAGATTTGTCCCAGGGAAATAGCGAGCCATCCTATATCAACAATGTTATCGAGTTGTAAAGCATCTATGATACAATGAAAGGCAGAATCCACATCGTCCACTTTGCGGCCAGATCTTACACCCTCGGCCTTGTTCGTAGCGTACATTCGCAATACTCGGAGATTAACTCCTTAAGCCGCGCCGCCAGACTTCCGCCTGACATCGTCGAACTGCATCAGCTTCGGCGTCTCCTCCCTCACAATGGGTTGGTGTTAGGAAACTTACAGTTGGTAACCAGCAGCAATGAAAGGGATGGCAAAGAAAGTGGCCGCCGCACCGGCGTACCTCACCGCAAACTTACGCCGGTTGTCATAGGTGAAAGGCATGTTCTGTGGGAGCGCACAGAGATAAGCCCCGTTCGCGTCGCGAGAGCCGCAGAGGCGCAAGCGAGACCTACGTGGTGAGCAGTGTGCCCCTCAGGCTTGGCGGGATGCAGCCCGAATCCGCGCATCTGCTTAGGGGTGCGTCGGAGGGCGATGCGAAGCGATGCTGGTGAAGTCCTGGCGAGCGGAGACATATCCAAGAGAACTCGAAGAACAAAGAGCGAGTGCGGAGAGGGCGCGAGGACGCTGGTCAAGCTCAAAGCTGGTATGGGACCGAGGGCGGTTGTGGGGCAGACGAGGGCTAGGGCAGCGGTCGTTATGTAGTCAACAGAGACTCCCCCAGCGAATCGAACGATGGGCGCGGAAGCACGAGACACACCGAGGGAAGGCCCCTCTGGAGCAGAGCTAGAATAGCCTTGGCCTGAGAAAGACCACTCGGCCAGCGGCGGCACGTAGAATTGTCAACTGACACCTGCGGGACCAGGTGATCATTTGGTAGTAGGAATGGGTCCAGAGAGGTCGAGAGCACGAGCGGCGCCCCAATACAGAGATGCCCCTTTCGTTGCATTCTTCAGCTCGAGGTGCCGATCCATCGTCATCCCTGTGCTGCTTGGTATTATGTTCTGTGAGTCTGTTGGCTCGGAGGGCATATGGATACTATCCTGGCTGCCTTAAAGCCGACCGGTAGTAATCCTTGATGTCCCTTGCTGGCGCCGTGGTGGTGGCCGCAGCAGTCTTGACCGTTCAGATCACAGAGGCCGAGGTCATGAGTCGAGTCTGCTGTGCACATCTGGATTTCACGGTAATTCCAGTGGTAGCTCAACGCCAAGATACGACAAAGGCGTCGTGCGGCAGCTGCCGCATTGGCGTAGTGGTATGCGCGCCCCACTTGTAGAAAAGCTCCAGCTTTCGGCGATGGGGAGGTCACTCGTTCGACCCGGGTATGTGGCATGTCTCTGTATTTTTGGTCTGCCACCGCCGACCTCCAGTTCTGAAACTTCTACATCAGTGTACAGTCTTATATGGGTCCTCGGGACACTATGGTTCCTCGGGACACTTGACGTTTTGCGCCTCTCCTTCGCATTATTTCTCACATATGGGCCCAGAACAGTGTATATATACATGATAACTAGTTGTATGTGGATTCCTGAGTCGGCAGAGAATGTATGTCAGGATATAGTCGTGTGTTTACAGGTGAGAGGGCCTAAATCGAATTTTGTGGCTGAGATCGCAGTAGAAGGGATTCACCGAGTGATCTCGAACTTGACTGAGATATTCTACACATTAATAACTATGTACTGAGATGCTTTCTGCCCTTATCGGTGGCAGGATGGTTTCTATGCAGCACGAAAGGTGAGGGAGGGCACAGAGATGAGCTGCACATTAAGCGCGTAGTGTCACACTCGCCTCAAGGGCCTCGCCTTAACCATATCGGGATAGAGCTCAGGCAGGCGCCCAATGCGTGCACTGACGCGCCGTACTCATTGCCAGCAGGAGCAGAGAGGTCGTAGAAAATCCATTCTCGTCTCTCGAAGAAGCCTCTGTTAGTATTGCTCGAGAGATTTCCCCCGAAGCCTAAACTTCAGGTGCTGAGGAAAGACGGGGAGGCCGCAGATGGTGACGAAGAGGAGGAAGGGGACTCGGACTCGGACTCGGGATGGGGATCGGACGACGACTGATCCGTAGATTAGATTACATCACCTACCAGATTTGGTAATGCCTCTGCGTGACGTGACCTGTCCCGAGGACTAGGGAGGGCATGATAACAACTTTTTGCTCTGATAGCTCTCGATCTCATTCACAAATGACATCTACATTCCGAAAACTCCAGGCAAGATAGAAAGACGAGGTAGCATACCGAAGGTATTTTCCGATTTGTGCAAGGGAGCCGGTATCAGCGCGCACAGACATCGCAAAATTTGGGTGTCCCGAGGAGCCATATAAGACTGTAAACGGTCATGGCAAGTGAGGACTTACTGTATCCTCGGTTTCTAAGTCCCTGGTCTCTCACTTAAATCCACATTGATCGATTCTGCTTAGTGCTCATTTCACGCGCTCTACAGCACTGTCCCAAAGCAAGTGACCGCAACCTCCGCTGTGGCACTAGTACTGACCAGCTTTGAGCCGCTGGTCGCGCTCCATACCACAACGTCGATGCGAGGTCGACAAAGAACAATGTTACGCACAAAGGACCAATTCAAAGGCCCTTTGGGACACTTACGCGCTCATATAACCCCTCTGCGCTGAGTGGCTCCATCGTGCTGACTTCTTGTCTGCCACCACTTGCCCCTCCACGATCGCATACCCCGGCGCAGGTCGCCTCACTCCTATACGGACAACTCGCGAGCAGCATGCCATCGCCCTCGTCCCTCTTTGATCATAGCGTCGCGGACGATGTCTATAGTGAGTTCAGAGAGGAAGAATCCGCCCTTCCTTTGCCATTGCCACCGACGATCAACGTCGTCGACCCGGATATCCTCCGGGCCCGCCGTCGCTCAGACAAGAAAGCGGCGAAGCTGCTTGACATCACGATCGCGCGGGAGGACGCCGACTTCGAGGTGGGCGACCTTAGCGGCGCGGGCCACACCGAGGACGAGGACCCTCAGGCCCCGACGCTCCTTGACTCCCCGATGATTGACGAGGGCGAGGACGTCCCGCTCGTCGACGGCTCTCCCTCGAAGGGGACGCGGAGAACAAAGACGCGCCGCAAGATCGGCGCGTTCTTCCAGAACTTCCGCCGGCGGAAGGTGTCGAATTTGAAGGTCCCCAGGCCTGCCCCGCGGGCGACACTTGCGAGTCTCGTCTCGCCCGACTACGTCCAGAACCCGTTCGGTGACGAGCATGCGATCCACCGGGACGGCGAGGAGGCAGGGCCTTCGAGCGACGCGCACTCGCAGACCGAGGGAAATCCGCAAGATGGCGGAGGCAGTCCTGTGGCCGGGAGCACTGCTCAGTGGGCGCTGGTGCCGAACACACCGAGGAGGACACCTTCCGCGTCGGCGCCAACGACGCCGGGGACGAGCCCATGGAGCGCGAAGAGTAAGAGGAGCGTAGCGAGCTGGCAGCGGTCCCCGCGCACGCCGCGGTCCGCCAAGTCGTGGCTGTCCGAGCACTCCCCCGGCAGCCTGAGCATCACGAGCAGCGTCACGAGCTCCTTGCGCAGAAAGCATGTGCGGCGTCGCGAGCGCCAGCTGGCGTCCCAGATGAAGTCGTTGCAGATCTTGGGCAGCGAAGCCGGCGCCGCGGTTGCGAAGGCGTCGCATGTCAAAGAATCAAAACTGCGGTATCGGGAGTTCGAACGGCAGCTCCGAGACAGGTTCAAGAGAACGCTCTAGGTGGGTGCGAACATCCGAGAACCATTGCTCGCAGGTCGAGTCGAGTCCAGTGCTTTGTTATGGACAACGTAGGTTAGCGTAGATTTGGAATATTCACCTCCGTTTGAACTCGGTGCTAAGCAGCTAAGTTAGCTGAATGACACTTGATGATCGAACGAGTAGACGGAAGGACGTTTAGTCTGTTTGTGAGATAACAAAATCCACTCATCTGACCGCATCATACATGGTATATGCCTACAGCTACGTGTCTCGATTTGGCACAATCCCGCTGCACGATCACGCACTCTGCTCCTTGTGCGCTGCCGCGTCGGCCTTGAGCTGCTGCATGCGCTCCTTGACGAGCGCGCTTTCCTTGAGCCACTCGCGGTACGTCTTCGCCTGCGGATATATCGAGAGCGTCTGCACCTGGTCCTGTTCCCAGCGGTAAGCATCAGCTTCCTAGTTCCCTCCCGAGCGCGCACACGCGCATCACGCGCGGCCACCAATTGCACAGCAGAACGGGATGACGTACCCTTATGCCGGTCTCCGGGCCGGCGCGACGGACAAAATCCCATGAGAGGTACATGACCTCTGCAGCAGGGTGGTCGGCGTAGCGCGACGCCTCGAACTGCTCGGGCGTGAGCTCGAGCGCGAGGCTCGCTTTCTCGCCCGTCACCTCGCTGAACTGCGTGACAATGTCGCGCAGGGAGAGCCAGTCGACCACAGTCTTGATCTTTACACCTGTGGGAAGGAGATGCAGAGACGCGGCGGCGCAGGATTGAGTACATGATGAAGGGATTGGGTCGTACTGTTGAATGAAGGCTCACCTGAGTACTTCTCGGGCTCGCGGAAGGCGGGAACAACGAGCCCGCCGAGGTCGGCAACGCTAAAGGCGAAGATGGGCATGTCAGGAAGGCAAGCGACCGTCCAATTGAACCCTTTCTCCTCGTCATAGCTTGGCGCGAAAAAGTCCGTCCAGAAGTTCTCTATTGGGCATCGGTGTCAACTTCTCTCCGCGGTCACCCCATACCCCGCATGCGCACATCAGCGTCGCGCGGGGCCTTGGGAGTACGCACCGTAGTACATTGGGATGTACACAAATGTATATAGGATGCCGCTCGCGATAACTCGATCTTCGATGAGGGCCTTGCTGCGCCAGGAGATCGCGGCACATTCCCCTTCGCGACCCTCGGCGGTGCTCCAGACGAGGTGCTTGACACCCGCGCGGACCGCCGCGTCGACGATGTTCCGGCCATGCAGCTGCTCGCCGTCGAACCCGTGGACGTAGAACTGGGTGACGGCGAATACACCCCACGCGCCCTCAAAAGCAGCAGCGGTCTCATCGAGCGAGGAGAAATCGGCCTTGACGACCTCGACGCCGCGCGCGGCGAGCGCCTGGGCGGCAGGAGAGGTCGGGTTGCGAGTGATGGCGCGGACGGTGAAGGCGTCGGGTTCTTTGAGGAGGAAGTTGACAACGGAAGAGCCTTGCCTGGCAGAGATGCGCCGGTCTCAGAAGGGCGGCGCTTCGCGGGTACGCGAGGGGTAACCGTTGAATACGCACTGGCCTGTAGCTCCGGTCACGGCGATGAGCTTTCTCGACATGGGGTGTAAACGGAGGTGCTCAGGATTTGAGTTGGAAAAATTGGGGCAGGAGAAGAGAGGCGAGATGTTGATTTGCAAGTCGGGTGTTCATATGCATCCCGCCTTGCTGGCGTGGCGCACTAGTCCAAGCTAGGCTGGAAATTTGGCCAGGCTAGGTGGGGAAAATGGGCCAATATCCTGAATTGCGGGTCTTCCAAGGCTCAGAAATATGATTGGAGATAGCAGTAACCGCGAAAGGATCAGGTTTTAGCCGTGGTTATGCGGTCGTTACGTGCCGGGTGCCTTCTGGCCCGGCGCCCGCTCGTGGCTCTTTTCCCGCATCTCGCGGCTGATGGGAATTTACCGACAACACACAGAGCTGACGACGACTGGGTACAGTATATGGTGTGGATTGTTTCTATATTGTCCGGATAGGAAAACGCAGCGGGGCAGAGAGGACCCACTGTCCGATTGGCACGAATCGGGCGGTCGTTCGCGGAAGCAAAGCTGGGCACAGCCACTCGCGGCATTGCGAGGCTTGTTTGACGGGCGCTTACACTAGATCTCCTGGCTGGCCCCCAAGCGCCGGCGGGATCAGGCCCCCCACCCCAGAACGGCGACCTCGCCGCTCGCAACGGCGGCGGAACGAAGGCAGCGTGGGCCAATCATGCGACCTAGTTGAGCATGATCCCCCTGATAGCTCCGTTGCCAGGAACATGTGCTCATCGCATCGGACAGAGAAGGCAGCCTCCACTGTCGCCCATGGATCTACGCGCAACAAGACTTGTCTCAGAACCTCATCAGACGGTCTTCCGACCCTGAGGACGGCCGTCCCCCACACGAGGGCCTTCACTGACTTTCCGCGGCTAGCGCCTCGGTTATGTATACGTGAATCTACTCCAGGCGCAGCAAGAGCGGTCCTGACTCCTCTCTCTCCTTTTGCCTCTTCTCTTACCTCCGCCAGCTGGGTGCAGGCCTCTACCGGGCCCCTCGGTCAAGATGTCGGGCATGTACGAGGTCAACCAGATCGCCGCGGCGTCCTTGGGCGCCGACCCG